TCCACCATATTTTTATCCAAAATGCTTTTACCTTTTTACAAGTCCACCACATATGGTAACATGTAGCATCGAGACAATCACATCTCCAGCATTTAGGTTGTAAATTCGGATACATACAGGCCAGTTTTTTAGGATCTAAATGCCATCTATAAAACATCTTATAAAAATTCTCTCTCAAATTTTGGGCTTGTGTAAATTTTACATATCTTTTCCCATATCTTTTCCCATGTATCCAACATTATTGGTTCTTCAAAATTTTGTGCCCACTTTATCATACAATCTTTCACTAATTCTGTTTCCAGATCCATTTCTATTAATACATTGTATAACCTTTTTATATGCATTGGACTTTGATCCCTAATTTGTTTTAGTAGATTATCCTCATTTTGCGTAAAACCAATTTTTTGATCTTTTTTCTATCTGGCCTGTAATTGCCCATACTGAAACCATGTCTGAATTACCTTTTCCTCTTTTAGTACATTCAAGGGTTTTCTTAGAGAACAATTATAGTACAAAAAATTGGTCTAAGGTTTCTAAAGAAGTAGGGCATATATTTTGCCTCTTAAAATCTATAAAACTGGAAGACCCTGAAATATTGACCATGTCTACTCCAAGGTTCTCAAAATCCAATAAAAGTACAGGACCAAACTGATTAAATGAAATTGAAGATTCACAATGATGTAAAGATGTAATTCATCATCACATATGTATGATTACATATTGCAACAGAATAGCAATAGTACTTAGACTTATATACCACTTCACAGGGCTTTACAGCGCTCTCTAAGCTGTTTACAGAGTCAGCATATTGCCCCTAACAATCTGGGTCCTCATTTTACCAACCTCAGAATGATGGAAGACTGAGTCAACTTTGAGCTGGTGAGACTCAAAATGTGGAACAGCTGGCAGCCTGCAGTCAGCAGAAACTGTCTACAGAACTGCTTTCTCTGTACACTGCTTGGAGACTCCATGCATGAGTTATAACTTGTGCCTATTAGCCCCAAGACTGAATTTGAATGTTTGGACACGCCTCCTTGGGATAACTGTAGCTCAGTTCTTAACTCAGTCTTAGTCCAACGAGACACATTTCAACTCTTCTCTGAGATTTTTAGGCATTTGTTAGAATTTTTATATCTGGACTCTTAAACCAGCCACAGAAATTAATTGGTCTCTCTTCTATACCATATACTAACCTTAATTGGACTACAGAAGAAGGTAAATGGTCACCAGGGCTCTGGCAACTGTTCTGAGGTAAGCCTTCATACGCCAGGACTTTAACAAATTGGCAGTGGCTACAGAGTTCTCCGCCGATGCCACTATGAATGGAGCCAAGTTCGCCTCAGGACCACTGGCGGCCAATGTAACATCCCATCGGCTAGCCTGGCTTAGACACTGGCAAGCTGACATGAAGTCCAAATGGCGCTTAGTATCGGCTCCCTTTAACAGAAGCCATTTGTTTGGAAATGAGGTTCTAGATCTGTCCTTGTGGAAACTAAAGACAAAAAGAAGATCCTACCCTCAAGTACTAAAAAATCTGACCGTAGGAATTTCCCATATCCAGGTAGGCAGCCATTTTGATCAGCTGACACTGGGTTCCAGCCCCACCAATATCAGTGAAGGTATTCCCAGGGACACGATCACCACCATGATAGGCAATCCTTCAGGACTAGGGGCAGGCAACAACAACAGCAGTCCTATTTTAGGAGACCTTTTAGGGGAACCAGCAATAAGCCTTTTCAGAAGTCAGAGTGACTCCCTAAACACTCCCATTGATGGTCCTCTGCAGTATTATATGACTCAGTGGGAGGCAACCACCACGGACACATGGGTGCTGCAGACTATCCACCTAGGGCTCACCCTAGAGTTCTGTCTCCTCCCCCTCCCCATTTCATTCAATGTGCTGTCCCAAAGAGCTCCTTCAAGAGGGAACTCATGGAAGCAGAGATCCTCCATCTGATGAACATCAGGGCCATAGAGCCAGTGACCACAGGTCATGGGGGAACCGGGTTCTATTCCATCATATTCTTGGTTCCCAATAGCTTGGGGGTTGGAGGACCATCTTGGATCTAAAAAGGCTCAACAGTTATGTAGCCTACAGGTGATTCAAGATGCAATCTCTGTGGTCC